CGCTGGCAGAACTGGCCCTATCACACAGCGCTCATGCATCAAATCTATAGCCTTTAATGCGTAGCTACCCAACTCCTGAACGTGACATCACTTCCAAGGCTTGGCGGTATCTGTCGCACGCCCACTGTAGCAGCTAGAACCAATGTCCCTATGGTACAGGGTTTATGCTTGACAAGCCAGCCCCAATCCTCCCTCTGTACTTCGCTTCTTCTTTCCATTATCAGTCATTATTCAGCTCAAGTGACATGTTTGTATCGGGGGGGGGGGCAATCATACAAACATATAGATAGAGAGCAGAAAGTCGTTCAGCTGTAACACCCTTTCGGTGCCTATTTTTTATGCCACCCAAAGGAAGCACGAGAGCTGGACTACTGTCAGGTTGTTCAAGCTTAGACGGGAAGGTCAAGAGGCAGAGGTCGGGTTCGAACCTCGAACCTTTCGTTCAGTAAATTCGCGCCCTAAAAACTGAGTCACCTCACCTGCGTGGCCATGAATCACCAGTGTTTTCATCGGGTGTTGCTGGCACTGAACATAGTGGTAATGATCAGCCTTCCTGGGTTGTTGCATGATTCTGCCCTGTTCAGCACACAGCATTCCTTCAATAGATCCCTCTTCCGGTTAGTTGTGGTTTTGGTTAGTGATAAACATGTGCATACACTGAGCAATGTGGGACATGTAGTACCATCGCTGACAACTGTAAGTGGCACTAAAACACACGTGTGGAACACCTTATGCTCCAGGGTAGTATTATCCTACTATGTCTCATGGTATGGGGGGCGAGATGGCTCAAGTGGTTAGAGGGCGAATTTACCGACCGAATTGTCCGTGGTTTGAACCCGGCCTCTGTCTCTCGACTTCCCCTGCCTAGGCTTGGGCAGCCTGGAAGTGTCCCAGCCGTCATGCTTTCTCCAGGTGGCATGGCAGTTGGGCACCGGAAGGATGTCACGGCTGATGTGATTACGGTCTGACCATCATACTCGATTGCATTACATCAGTGTTCAATACTGATGCTTCGCTGATGTAGGAAGATGCCTGGGGCCGTCGGTTCCAGCTGACTGGCAGATGATGTGGCCAAGACAGGCGCAAGGCGAATGGGGTCCTAACTGATGGGCCCACAAGGAGAAAGTTATTAATGAGGCGGGGCAAGGGAGGAAGAGAAAGTATGTGAAAGAGGATGAAGGGAGGCATCAGTGGTAGTCTGTTTTCGCTTACCTGCCATGATCTATGCGGCAAACGATATGACCCGGCTAATGACACCACTTGACTGTCGATGTGGCACGTACTGCAGTATGCCAGCCCATGTACGTGGGTTAGTTAAGTAGTATCTCATCCTTCTAATTTTGACCACTTCAACTTTCTATTGAGCCATCTTTGTTGAAACACACCAAACGTCCGGGATAATGCGCTGGTTGAAAAGCGAACCGACGAGGAAGACTTGGCTTTTGACTTTCGATTTCTCGGCAAAATCTGTCTCCTATTTACATGGGATATTCTCACAGTGGGGTCTGCCGTCCCATGTAAGCTCACTGTCTTCTGATAAAGTGCCTCCCCATGACAGGAAGGAGAGATGGTCACAAAAGCTTTTCCCGTCATGCACATATTAGCAGGAAGTGTATCCCAAAAGACCATTCTTAAAAATTTAAAACCCATCCCTCTTGATGTATCAGCTTAAGAAAACTATTCTATCTGAAATCTCTAGTTTTTTTTACTTTTTCATTATTATTGTATTCAGCCTCGACGTATAATAAACCGACGTCGAAATCTTTCGTTATAAAGATATTCATTGTTCGATCAGGGATGAAATAGCTCAGTTGTTAGAGCGCAAATTTACTAAACGGAAGGTCTGTGGTTCGAACCCAACCCCTGCATCTTGATTTCTGCCTAGCCTCGGGCAACCTGGCAGTATCCCAGCCTTCGTGCTTCTTTCTGGAGGCATGGCAGCTAGGCACCGACTGGGTGTTACAGCTGCACGGCTATCTTATTTTATGATTGTTCCACCCATCTTGATGTATTCTATTGTTCGTATTTCAGCCCGTTATATGACCGGTTATCCTCGTTTAGCCATTGCTTCGCGGATTATGGTGATCACTTCGACGTTTCTGGTACGTTCACTGTCCTTTTTTGTTGATTCGTGCGTATTGTCGGTAAGAGACAGAACCGAGCTAGTGAACCGTACCATTTTCAATTATCAGCTTGGCGCTTGGCTTGTCTATCGGGTGGCCGATGAAATTCCTACGTAAAAGGAAACCCCCTTAGATTTCATAGACAACTCTGGCGTCAACTTCACTTAAATTCTCCTGTCAAGGATGAAGTGCAGGGCGCTGTTGACCAATCATTACTCATCCCGTTTACCAACTTCACACACGCTCAATCGGTCCTCATTCTGTAGTGTGTCATCTTGAAAGTATTGCAGTTGGACGCTGGTGCTCTCACAGAGATTTTTCTCTCAAGGATAATAGGTTGTTGCGATTAGTTGACTACTTCGCTGCTCCCCTCATCGTCGATGAGTAAAACAGGCGTTTTGTTTTGTTTCAAAGTCACTGAATCGTCTAAGTAACAAACGCACTGAGGACGACTGTTCAAACGAGAATGTGGGTATGAACAATACATATCCTCCAAACGCCACAACAGATACAAAAAAGTTGTCCAGCGGGTTTCAAGCTTCTGTGGCGCTACCTGACTTTAAAGTCCTGACCGACGGGTCAATCGTCACAACCAGGGCAGTTACTGGATCGTCGTTCGATGAGTCGTGCACATCATTCACATCGCTCAAGCGTGAACACGTTTGCCTGTTCGGGCGTGAAAAGTCAGATGCCTGGATTGGTGGTAACACGCTCGTCTCGCATGTCAGATGTCCGGAGTTCAGATCCCGGCACGGCCATTGGATATGCACTGCTGATGAGCTCTAATGCGAGCGAAACTCGAGTCCAGTGCTTCCCCTCCCTTAGTGTGGACTCACAAGGACAGGAGGACGACTTCAAACGAGAGTGATGTGAAGTGAAGAGCGATGATTAGTAAAAGAATGTAGATTCAATGCACAAGGCAGTATTCATTACATTTTGAACGCCAAGCATGTTTCCAAGTCCGTTCTACTCAGAAAGGTAACGAACTCGTGGTAGCTAATGAGTCAAGCCGTAATTTTCTATTCTGGAAATCAGTGTGTCCCATTTACTCTTGATTTTTCGCCCCCCCCCCAAATCCTCGTGATTGTTTTTGCTAGCAGCAGGGATGGAGTAAGGGGTGATTGGTTCCTAATTTTGGCTATTTTGGTGGTAACTTTGTTTGGAGCAGCATGTACTTGATAAAGAAACGGCTTTCCATTATGTTGTGAAACGTTCAACTTATGCTTTCATGCAGATACGGTTAGGTCAGCCCTTCGGAGTAGGATGAAGGTATGAATAAAAATGGCAGTTATATTGACTAATTCATCCAACGAACACATGACAAGTTATTCACGTACCCAGATTGGATTATCCCGTCGGTATGGCTGTGTATAAATGCGGGATTAGTCCGTATAAAACTCAGCATTGTTAAAAGACATGTAATCCCAAAGCCTTGTTCGGGTTCAATTCCATTACTCCCACCTTCCATGCATATATTCTTACACTAACTTGCAAGATACTTTTGTGGTAAAGAGAGACAAGCGGATCTTTCGATTGGCTATCATGTAGCCGTCTGGTTTTGCATTTTGTCCAATATTCGAGACCTTGAGCATACTACTTACATTGCTTGCTGAAAGCCCTCCGCAGTTCACTACCGGTTTCGCTCTCCTAGGGGCACATCAGTCGACTGCAATTCATCAAACTTATGTCCTACTTGAGCCTACAATTGGACGCAAGCCGCGAACCACATTCTTTTGCTGTGATGTTAACAACAGCATAATTCACTCGAAGAATATCGTCAAGGAGAGATTCAATTGAGTCGCCAAACAGGTAGTGAACTAATGAGTGTATTCAGATATTGACGTACGATTCGGTTGACAAAAACTTTGGGACTGCGCCTAACTGCTTAGCCACGGAAAGGGTGAAACTTGAAGTGGACTTTCGAAGGGTTTCCGGCAATGTGTTTTGTCAAGACTTGTCGAACAATTACCGGATTTTAATCCGACAATTGCCAGCTAACATCTTGCTTTAAACGCTATCAGTAGTTCGTTGACTTCCTCGGGATATTTAGGCCAATAAACAATCTCACCGTTTAGTTCCATCATCTTCGGAAATAAACTCAGTATAAACCAACGATTTCTCGTACATTTTGAACAACTTCCCTTCCATTAGAGACAAAAACGTTCTCACGTTATTGCTTTACCAGTGGACACACGACAAAATCTCCCGTCCCCTGATACTTTACAGAAATATTATATCCGAAAATCGCTCGGGGCACAATACATGCTGTTGATTTGTTCAACAGTATGGACACAGAATACTGCGTTAGGACGTGGTCGATGAACAACTGTGCATCGAATCCGAACAAGATGTTCATTACAGAGAGGAGTTTAAACCCATTCATTAATGATCTCCTACCAGTGTAGTGCGTTTTTTTCGAAGTTGCAACTCAGAACCACCCGCATTGACTTAAAAGCATTTCTAGCACTGTTACAGTTTCTACGATGTCCACTGGACCCTCCTCATTACAGTTTTTCGTGAAACTTTGTGTTCTAACTTGTTCTTCCGTTACTTCTTGCAATAAACGGAACACGAGTAACATAATTTCAGCCTGTTCAGTGCCTTGTTCCCTTGTTTAAAACCAACATCCATGCCGATTGGTACTCGTGTATGTTACAGACCACTGTGGCAATGAACCAATGCATTCATCTTGGTATCTTGGAGTATCATAAACGAGACGCTCACTTGAGTCTCCTCTGAAGGCCAAATGGACATGCAGATGGGTGTTATCTTGGAGTATCATAAACGAGACGCTCACTTGAGTCTCCTCTGAAGGCCAAATGGACATGCAGGTGTATGTATTTTTCGTTTACTATTGGAATCAATAATATTCTTAAAATGTATCTCCTTCTGCGCGTCCTTCAGCTTGTGGTTCTCGGCTACTGCCTGGCTAGTCAGTCTCCACACGCTCCCGTCCTATCTTCGGGCAAGGTGATTGGCACAGTGATAACCGCATGCAACAATCTCACCTTCCACACGCCACCAGGTGACCCATACCCAACCCGTTCGGGCCAACATTTGTGGCTGCACGACTCGCACACACCGTGTCTGTCCGACTCCAATGAAGCGTTGGAATATTGTCGCAAAGTCTACACCGCAATTTACCCGGAACTCACTGTCGATCATGTGGTTGTCGATCCGTTCAAAATTATCCCCGATTTCCTTCCCTGGTTCCCATCCAATGCATCCAGCTCTATTCGAGTCTATTTGTGTTTGGGTACGTAGCTTTCGATTCTTTTTTTATAATTTGAGAGAACGTGAGTGTTTGTTTACTTCATACAGTGATGACCTAAAGTATTTTGGATTTCCCCGTATGCTAATGAGTTTTTACAGAGTTGCTGTGTGTTATAGAACTTTTTGTTTGAAAGAATCACCGCATATCCCATTCTGTCGAGAACGATTGAATAGGGTACCAGTTAGTTCATCATGCGCTTGTTACACAACCATATTTCACAGCTATTTTTTCTGCGATACAGAAGTAAATAACAGGTGTTCGGCTCCGCCGCTTCTCTTATGTACAGTGCTCTTCATCTCAAGTCTTTCTATTCTACGTATTCTACTCGCCTGGTTATATTTTAGCCACCGTCTGAAATATAGGATAGATTGTTTGCCTATGTAATGGTCATTGACGTATGAAAAGAGATAACAGCACAACTGCCCCATCCCTCTGAGGAAATATCGTTATCTGTTCCCTTGGGCATGAACTCACTGCCATTCTCGGTGTATGGAAATACTATTCTAACGATGGATAGTCGGCCAGTTTGCTTTCATACGAATCCTTTTTGCATCCAGCTGTAACCGTGGGGCGAGATGGCTCAGTGGTTAGGCGCGAATTTACAGCACAACTGCCCCATCCCTCTGAGGAAATATCGTTATCTGTTCCCTTGGGCATGAACTCACTGCCATTCTCGGTGTATGGAAATACTATTCTAACGATGGATAGTCGGCCAGTTTGCTTTCATACGAATCCTTTTTGCATCCAGCTGTAACCGCGGGGCGAGATGGCTCAGTGGTTAGAGCGCGAATTTGCTGACCGGAAGGTCCGTGGTTTGAACCCGACCTATGCCTCTCAACTTCCCCCCTCTAGGCTTGGGCAGCTTGACATTATTCCAGCCCTCGTGCTTCCTTCTTTGGCGTGGAAATTTGGCACCGATAGGGTACCACAGCTGAACGCTCTCTCCAACTGCAACCCTCTTCACGCAATCGCTGAACCTACGCTTTTCCAGATGTACTGTGCTCGTACACGTGATTTGTTGCCAAGGCGCGACGTAGTTGTCGACTTAATTACTTAGCAGGCTGGCTGCACATCATGTCCTGACGCTACACGGACCGGCAAGTGGTAATTAGATAGGCACTTGGGTTCCCAGCATCACCGAAATTTAGTTTTGTACCGCCAAGGGCAACCTATGAAGTGGTTCATTGGACGCAGAATTCACATTGTCAACAAGGACTACTTTATGAAGCGGGATGTGGATGACTACGGATGGAATCTGTTCTTGTACGGAGCATCTCATCCTTGCACAAAACCTTATTGGGGAACATTCAGAATTTGAGTTGTTTACTTGGACTTTGCAACCGGAAACGAAACGAAAGTCAAACAGGGCTACAAAACGTTGTGTTCTAGGCACAGGAATATGATGCGTATATAGGAAACGGAAGCGGGTAAGTAAGTGAATTAACCTTAGGTGTTCCAAAAAGACTATTTATTACTGAAGGTTTCTATGAAGAAATTTGGAAAATTCAATCGAGGTTTCATCCCATAAGTGAGGCCAATCTACGCTGAAAAGTCTGGAGGCACTGTACAGCTGTTTCATTCTTGTTGGGAATTATCTACAGTGTGCATCTCACGAAACTCCTGTGAGTTTCCTCGAACTCCTAAAAAAATTGCTCAGCTGTAACGCCCTTCCGGCGCCTAGCTGCCATGCTACCCGAAGGAAGCACGAGGGCTGGGATACTGCCAGGTTGCCCAAGCCTAGACAGGGAAAGTCGAGAGGCAGAGGTCGGGTTCGAACCACGGATCTTCCGGTCAGTAAATTCGCGCTCTAACCACCTGAGCCATCTCGCCTCGAACTCCCGGCTATTTGATTAAGCGCCTAACCGTTCGGCGAACGGGCGGCTGATCAGCAATGTGATTAACTCATACGTAGAAAGGATATGGTACCACTCAACCTTCAATCGGAGAATCTACATCATGTGGTCACTTATCGAATGTCTTCTCCTGTGACGACTTTTCAGTTTTATCCATCGCGGGGATTTGTTCTTCTTTTGAGCTACTTATGGATCGTAGATCGTGCGAGACCGGGAAATTTTCAATTGAGATCTCGTTCTGTAAGCAACGTAGTCAATTGTACAACCGTTTTCTCTTTGTTGGGAATCGTTATCGGTGCGTAGTTTATCAAAAACCTCTATGATCCTATATCCTTTCTCGATATTCTTCTGGGTGGTTGAAACCCGAATGCAATGAGGTGAAGGTCACAGGGGCAATTCTCGACTGTTTGTGCAGTGACCGTTTTCTTCTTGGTGGAGTATTAGTTGGTGGGTGGGGTAGTGTTTCCACCTTGCTTACTAAGGGAATTTGGTGTTGCAGAAAGGATTCATACTGGAGAGATCGATCCACGAAAACTGTTACCATGGCAACAGTTCTTCGGTGAAGGTTCTGTGAAGTGGCAGTTATGCATTCACAATGTAGTTAGTTGTAGGATTACGAATCAATGGGGCCGTTTCGTTTCTAATCGTTTAACATATGAAGGTGCATGCTAGACGGTACGCCGTACTGGAACAGAGAAGCCTGGTTGTACCCGTTTACTCTGCGAATGTGTGGGCTTGAACTGGATTGTGTTACTAATTCGCCGCTTTATTCTCACAACCTACTCTGTGTTCTTGTTCGCCTGGACTTTCTTGTTTTCAGGACCGGTGCCTCAAACTACCAGTGATGCTCATCTCACGGCTAAGCCCACGATTGGTCCGACTACCGAGGTAAATACCAAGTTGGTGATGTTCTATACATTTGAGCAAATCCTTTTCGTATTGATTGGACTCTTGTGGAGTGGTAGTAACCACCGAGGCCTAACATCCTTGTCCTCATTATCTTGTGACACATCAGACGAAATCACTTGCGTTTCAATGGTCTTGCTGCATGTATTTCAGCGTATCTATGTGTTTGTTGTTCGTTTGGTTGTCGTTTTTAAAAGAACCGATAATTTTTTTGTAGCGCACTACTCACAAGGTTGCTGAAAACTCCTCGACAGCCCATGACCGGTTTCGCCCTTCTTGGGGCTCATCAGGTAGGCGCAGTCCCTGAGTTCCCGTCAACCTTATCCTCTAATTGAAACTAAATTTCACGGAATCAGCGAATATACACTCATTTGCAAACTATTTTGGTTTCTCGAGATACTCACCTGGAACCCGGCTGAATCTCTCGGTTTTGATGTTTCCAGGCTGAGGCAACCTGACAGTATCCCAGCCCTCGTGTTTCCCTCGGGTGGCACTAAAAGGGTGCTACAGCTGAACGATTTTTTGGATTTCTATTCGTGGAGTGTGGAGACCATTTGGATCTGTAGTCGCCTATCCGTGTCCCAAGATACCTGGGTGCCCATGTCACTATATTCGACCATGCGCAGATGTCACTGTTTGATTCGTTAACTAGATCAAACCAAGATAGCGACGTTTAAGGCTCTGCAGTGAAACGGTGCTTGAAAAGGTTTAGAACTTCATTACTCTTGAACCGCTTTTGGGACAATATTTTCAAAGACAACAATTAAGGTGACCGTGGACGTGTTCAGTTACGCAATGGTCTTCCTGCGTCACAGGCCCCAGTTCACACCCCCCCCCCCCCACGGTTTTGATCGAAGTGCACGCTGACACGGTACTACCGTTAGCAGTAAGTGTGACGGATAGGCAGTGCTATCCATGATGACAATTAGTTAGCGTAGCTTGTGATAATGGCAGTTCATGGGTTACTCTGTCACATTAAATGAACAAGTAATGCTTGCCACTGCTCTCTCAATCGTGTCCCCAGCGTGCCTGCATGTTTGGCAACAGTGACCGTGCCTTGTGATTTCTCTTGTGCAAGGCGCTCGTGTCTGCGAGGCTTTCTCTTGTTACGAATAGAGGTCTCCGCTAAACTTAGCTTGCACGTTGTATATTTGATTGGTCATGACGAGTACATGCTTTCATCTTTCACGTCGAGCGCGATAGAAAATTAGTAAGTGTCCGGATGGACGTGGCTCCGCGCAAGTGTTGAACGCAGTCTGCGTTTCAGTCGTAGTTCACGGCTGTAGCTGCTCATGCCACTGATGTCGCTTCCATTCACAGACACCTTCACCCGCAATTCATCATCGACTACCCACTTTGATCGATATGCACCGAGTCTACTTTGCCGAACAGTTTCACCATTTGTGGAACGTGACGCACTCGAATGTATCCCAAATTATTAGTGATTTGGTTCAGCGGACGAAAGGCCTGTTCAAGTTGTATCCGTCCAATCCCCAGTTGGTTCAATATACGGTTTCTCAGATGCTGAAGGTTAGTTTACTTTTTAAGACAGACCTGGTTGCTTTTCACTGACGCATGAGAAGAGTGATTGAACGACCTTCATTATAACTCTTGAGAGATTTGAAATTTATCGTTTCCAGTTTGATAGCATTTTTCCGCGATTCTGTCGCTTTCCCATTCTAGGACGCACATGAGCGTTTGCAAGAAATTTGGGCCGCGGAGGAGCGCGAGTGGTCTGTTTTAGAACAGAATCAACACGAAGATCTGGCCAGTCAGATGGGTTCGGATGAATGGGCGGGGGAAAATATGTTCGCATTCGCGCTGCAAGAGTCGCATCCAGATGTGAGTTATATTCCGAACTATTTTAACAAGGCTTTGACAAGCCTGACCCACCACCCAAGCTCCGCGGGTTAGTGTTGATGAATTTATCTTAGAATGGTGGTTTTTTTTATTATCGTTCTCCTGGGTGGCTTCACTTTGAAGACGTTCAGTTGTCAACAAAAATCGAATGCTATCTACTATCCTACCTACTATCCCGGTTCTCTCCAATCGACTTTTCTGCCAGTCAACTAATGAACCATTTTTCCACTTGTTGTCAACGGATCCTTGCTCCATTTTAGGCAGTTGATTCCATTAGGCAGTACAGAGCACGACTGCTTTCGGTAGCGAAAACCCTCTCCTTTCTCCTGGGACTCCACCGCGTGCCAAACTTCTCGGACTGACCCTAAGCTGTTCACTACAAGGTATTCGCCCTCGTGCTTGTTGCATGCCGGAATGGACTTACCGGGATCAGCCAGGACTAGCAACCATAATTAGATTATACAGTCGTTTTATTTCATTGGTTATAGAGCTTGAACGCAGACAGTACGACTGACTACACTATTTCTTGTTTTGCTGACGTGTTTGTCACCAAAGT